ATTTCAAGATTTAAATTTACATATTGAAATTTAGGTCTGGATTGTCATGGCGTTGTCATAAGTTTAAAAAAAAAAAGTTTTTAAAAAACAATCCACTGGATTTTGTTTCTAAGTTTGAAGACGTTTTGCTTCCCATCCTGGACGCTTTTTTAATTCAAAATTTTCAAATGTTTTCAATTCAAAAGCTTCCTGGCCACATTATTTTTTAAAGCTATCTCAGTCTTAGTCTTCATGATAATTAAATAATTAATTAAAAACTGTATTTAACCTAAGCTATTTTGTGTCTCTAAAACTTTAGATGTTCAACTCACAGAACACAATTTGTGTACTTGTACTCAAGAATATGAAGAGGTGTGACTTTTTTTTTGTAATTGTGACAGAAAAATCTACAGTTACAAAACACCAAAGGTACAACGCACAAATAATTTTGCAACAATAGTTTTTGCAAAATTGTACTTTTGAATTATTTTTTTTACAAATACAAAACTTGGAATGTAACTTTCTCTACAACTTCAAATTCACACTAACAATGCTTACTAACAATACTAACTTTCATAAATGAGGATTGCTTGATCTGTGTGTAAATGGACCCACATGCAGGGAAACCAAAACAGAGAGACCAGGGAAAAAGTTTAACAGGTTTATTGAGAAGCTTGTGGAGATTCCAGTGTTGCTCTGAACCCTGCTCAATCAGAACTGAAAGGTGAGGGGAAGACACTGCGGTTAGTTCAGGTTCAGTGGGAAAATTGAATCTCGAACTTGAAGAGGAGAAATGGTTTGCAGACTCACGTTTCCAGAAAAGTGGTTGACTCTTAGACTCCAGTCAGTGTGTGGTAGTTCCAGTGTTTGTCTCATTCGGTGGAGGGTGGACAGGGTTTACCCAGAATGTGGTTGTTTGTAGGAGAACGGAGAAAACTGACTGCCACTCAGATTTCCTGCGGTACTTGAATGGAATGTGGTGCAGATGAATCCCTTGCTCAGTGTGAAACTCAAACAATTCCTTGGAGGAAAGTGGATCCAAACCTCCAGTTTAAATCCCCAGCTCAGTTTGAGGCTCAGTTGATCCTTCCAGGGAGAGAAGGTCTGAAACGTCCAGTTTGCAGGATGACTTCCTGCAGAGAGGCAAAGACAAAAATAGCAAGATTAAGGCCCCGTCGACACGAAGCCAAACCCTGGCCTAAACACACTAATTTTTCACCAAACCAGCCTCTCATCCACACGAAGCCGGCGTTTCGGGGGTCTGTAAACGATCTTTTTTTTATTAAGCCTTCAGAGTGGGAAGATTTTGAAACGCCGTTTTCGCGTTTCCATCTTTAAGCTCTAACCGCATTTTTTTTGTTACACACATGCGTCATAGCGTCGCCTCTAAACACGCATGCGCGACACAGTATCACAACAACAATGGCGCCGTACTGTGTTGAATGGTTGCTGCTCATGCTACTCACCCTGCTGTCGGGCTTACAACAGAATCTTCTTCTTCTGGAATATCTCCAGGAAGAACAGAGCAATATCGACCACATAGTTCAGCACCTGAATTTGACTGAACCACGAAAATGGACCCGCAGGGCAACCATGTATAAATATTAGTGCGCATGCCCAACATTTCGTCGCCTATTTTTGCTTTGGCACCACAGCGCCACTTACAGGCCTGGCATACATTTTGCAGCGTTTTCCTGCATTCGTGTGGACGATCACATTTATTTTACGTCTCCGTCTTTACGACAAACGTTCTGGAAAATATTAGCATTTCGTGTTCGTTTTGACTTCGTGTGGACGGGGCCTAAAAATCAGGTTGACAAAAACTCAGTTTGACTCAGCAAAACTCAGCTTGGCTAGAGTACCCAAAAACTGGCAAACACTCTGGCGTCGAGGTAGTGGCAGTCAGCAGCTTAAGAGCGCTCCGTTAACGAGGTAATCCTTGGCAGATGTCTGAGGAGCTTAATCAGTACCAGGCGCCGCCTGGTGGAGGAAGGAAGACAAACACACAAACCACACAGACAGGAGTCCTAACAGTAATGCATAATTCATAGTAGGTCTGGAAGTATTTGCTTTGGGATGGAAACCTCATATGTGTAAAATCATTCCTTTATTACATACATTTGTAACAAAAGCCACATTTTGTTAGCTTGTCTGTCTGCCATATTAACCAATATGATGTGTTGAACTAGATCTGCTATTTTTGACATACATGACAGGATAGGAAACGGTGAAACAGCAACTTTAGTTATCTGTTCAAGTCCCAATGTTGAATCTTTATAGAAATTTCAACTCTAAAATGAAATAGAAGTAAATTTCATCTTTTTGTTACTGCAATATTAAACTAGCTGGAAAGCTTAAGAACTATTGTAACATAGATTATTTAACTTTAGTGACAAGTTATGAGGTTGATCTGATTTTTTAGTGTCGGCAAAATAACAAGTGAAATGTTTAACTTTGTCTTTAAATGAAAACAAGATTAAACCAGAGAGGAACCCCGCTCTCTTTGCAAGGCCACCCACTCAAACTGTGGTGTCTGCATGTGGGGAAGTATATTACCCAGACCTCTTCCCAGTTATGATGAATCCCCAGCCCTGAGAAGACTGGCCAGGCCGACCTCCATTCGCCGCAAATTAGATTCTCTGATTACAATGCCAGCCACCTCCCAACATCTGATAAATTTTTAGCGAGAACCCAAAAGCAAATCCCTCCAGTTCCACTGCAGTTAATAATTTAACATTGGTGGTGAGGGAGGTGTATTTATTATAATTCAAATGAAGCTGTGGAGGGGTTTGAATTGATGGAAAAACCTGAAAAATGGTTTAAAGTTAAATTTAAAAAAAAAGTCGATATACTAAATTCATGCCCTGTATGACACAAATGGTATGCCATTACAGGAAGGTCTCATGAAAGGTGAAATGCATAAATATGTTTATTTATGAGCAGGTCTGAGCAAAGATCATGGAAAATGTCAGAAGAGTGACATGTTTGCCTAAGAGCTTCTAGTGGCATATTACTTGTAATAGATGATTAAAATGACGTGGTGCTGGTGTTGGGGCTTGGTGTAAACACCTAATTTGCTCTGCACAGGCTTAACAAACACTGAGGTTACTTAGAAGCACTAATTTGACTGTATAAAGGATGCAAATGAGATTAGAGAGGAGCCTGCAGCCTGTATGCATTTTTGTTTGTAGCAGTTGTTCTCGGCTTTGTTCTGCCGAGGCTTAAAAGCCTCTGGGTTTTCGCTGTGACCCAACACAGCAGCTGATTCAACTGATTCTTTCCAGATTTCCGCTCAAGGTTGGCAAATTCCTCTGATGCTGTGTTGGTCTGAGGAAAACTGTGAAGCCACGGGTAAAAAGATCTGTGGTATGCTTCTTTTAAGTTAACAGGTTTGCACAGGTTATTGCAAATAGACTTCATGGTCAATAGAATCCTGATGTTGTGTCACTGGAGTCATCGTTTGTCCTAATACAGGAAAATAAATACAGAATACAGAATAATCTTTTGATAATCTGCAGTCTTAGCTAATATAATCTATTAGATAAATAACAGAACTCACAAAGATTCAAAGCGCACAACAGGATATGATTTAAAAACTAGTTTATCTCAATAAACATGGCTAACTGCCTGGTCATCTCCTGGTCAGACCCTGTAATTCAGTAAAAGGATGGAGTCAAATTTAAAAAATGGCCGCCCAGGAGAAGGCCAGTGGCTGGAAGTTGGAGAGGATTTTGCTGCCATTCAGCTGCCTTTGACTGGGAAAGCCCATTTTAAAGGAATAGTACACCCAAAACATGATTAGGCTTCATTTTCTACTCACCCCCATGCTGAACAACACTCTGGATTACTTTTTTGATATCTCAAATGCATCTGGAGATCTGGGAGGCTTCTTGCTGTCTGCTGACATTCAAATAATGGAGGTCCATGGTGCCCAAGACAGAAAGGTCCATAAAAGTCCACAAAAAACGTGTCAATATTCCTTCATACTGCTCGTCCAATGTATTCCAAGTGTCCTGAGTGGGTAGCGTCCAGAATTTACTTGAAACGAAGTCATTTAGAATGTTTTTAGAGCATAAACAGTAGTGTATAGGATTTCCTAAAAGCGCGTTCACGGGTCTACGGAAACCACGGCAGACCAAACCAGATGAAAGTGCGCATTCAGCTCGGCAAAGAACTCATGCTCTTCCTCAACACTGAAGTCCTCAGACATTTTCTTTCATTGTTTCTTTCTTTGCACAGGTAAACAGCACATTTCTTCTTCTACGCTTGCATTATCGGCAGAGCAGACGCTGAATGCGCACTTTCATCTGGTTTGGTCTGCCGCGGTTTCCGTAGCGTCGTGAGCGCGCTTTCAGGAAATCCTATACACTACTGTTTATGCTCTAAAAACATTCTAAATGACTTTGTTTCGAGTAAATTATGGACGCTACCCACTCAGGACACTTGGAATACATTGGACGAGCAGTATGGAGGAATATTGACACGTTTTTTGTGGACTTTTATGGACCTTTCTGCCTCGGGCGCCATAGACCTCCATTATTTGAATGTCAGCAGACAGCAAGAAGCCTCCCAGATCTCCAGATGCATTTGAGATATCAAAAAAGTACTCCAGAGTGTTGTTCAGCATGGGGGTGAGTAGAAAATGAAGGCTAATCATGTTTTGGGTATACTATTCCTTTAATTAGATGCTACTGTGTAACTCTATGAGTAATGAAGGAGCTGTTTCACCTCTTGAATCGAGTTGCTCGAACCCAGTGATGATGTTCTGATTTATTGACCAATCTGTTCAGGAGAAGGAAATAAAAGTAATAAAAATCTGAATGTATTGTATTGCTTTTATGTGAAGCAAATACATGTTCTGTTTCTTTTGAAACCTTGAAGTGTTCTGCTATGATTTGTACCCTTTGCTCCTGGATCCACGCTGTGCCATATATCACCACAAATCTTTTGAATTCTCCCTGCGGCCGACGTGACCATTACCATATAGATGGCCTCTGACAGCTGACCGTGATCTCTTCCAGGTTTCTATGAATTGTGACTACGTGTTCGTCAACGGCAAGGAGACCCGGGGCTCCATGAACGCCAGGATCATCTTCAGCTACGAGCACCTGAGCGCACCGCTGGAGCTCACCGTCTGGGTGCCCAAGCTTCCCCTGCAGGTGGAGCTCACCGACAGCTCTCTGAGCTTCATCAAAGGCTGGAGGGTTCCCATTCTGCCTGACAGGAGGTGAGGCTGAGCTCCAAAAGACACACAAGCCTTCAATGTAATCTGGGCTTCTTCTCAGTGAAAACATGATTCTAAACTTTTAAATAGGAACACATGCATAAGTTCATTCTTCAACTGAGATATTGATATTTGTACCATTTAAAGATATTAAATAAGTTATTCGCCATTAGAGATTTCTAAAACGGATCCCGAATCATAACATTGACTATGCTACTTGTCTTCTATGAAAAATGAAATTGTTAACTTTCAGTAGATAAAGTTATGTCATGTGTTTCTTACCAGTTGCATCATACCCTACCAGCACTTTACATTTATATCACTTCCCTTTCATTCCTTCTACTCACAAAGTCTGTGCCTTTATGTGACCAATAACAGATAAGGCTGAATTCAACGAGGTCAAAGAAACTCATAATTCTGACGACTTAAATCGACTGTTGACACCAGATATTGACCGTTTTATTTATCAGATTTGAACCAAAGCTTACGTTGGGTTTAACTGATAGCTGGACTTTGCCTTCCTGAGAACAGCTGTATCCCTTTAAAGCCTGAACCAGGAAATAATTGACAGAAGATTCTTTTTTTTTTTTTTTTTTTTTTTTTTTTTTTTACAGTGTCCTGTCTGGCAATGTGGCAATAAAAATAGTTGCCAAAAAGAGCCCAACAGATTTTACTTTCACAAGTGTAGCAGTACGGCCATATTGCTCCACTTGTTTCATGCATATAAATTGCTTTATTATAATTATGCAGGGAGTTTTACAGTTTATATGGACGCTGCAATGTAAATACAGCAGAAAAACAGAAGAAGAAAAGGAAAAAAGAAAAAAAAAGAGAAAAGATGAAAGAAAGAAGAGATAGAAAGGAGACAATGACAAAACATTTTCAGTCTGCTTCACCACCAGCAACGAGATGAAAAAAGAACAACCGAAAGACACGGTACGAGATATACAATAAAGCAACACCTTGACACTATCGCTAAAGTAATATTATTAAGTCTGACATGTACTCTGTGTTACAGATTCTAATTTTCGAAAATTAGAATTGTCATTGAACTGTGTGACAAAGGAAATAACTATATAAATTTTGTAAAAACATTAAATTACATCATTTATTTGCATCAATTTTGATATATTACACATTTCTATATCATCTTTTATATGTTTTCTGTTCACTACATGTGTCTGATTATGTAAGTCAGGGTTTCAAGTTTCAAATATGATACACTTGGCTTTAAAGGGTTAAGTGACTTAAGAACATCCATCCTGAAAATGGATATACTTGCATACATGTTCATGTTTTTGCATATTTTATGAGGGAAGTGTTATTCTGTTAAAACTAGGGATGCACGATATAATGGGCCCCCTATCGGTATCGGCCTTAAAACTGAATATCGGACATCGGCCACCCCACCGATATTTAACCCGATATTTGATCAGCTTCTGAGTTTCTAAAGTCTAAAAAAAATAAAATAATAAACTACTTCTTCTTCTTCCTCAAAAACTTATTTTTTACAGACTTAAAAACTTCTAAAGACGAGGGAAAAAATATTGATCCATTAAAATATCCCAATATCTTCATATGCTGATATATTTCCATTTAAAAACACCATATCAATCTCTTTTACTAATGAAATATTGCTATATGTCATCGTTACGCTACGAAATCCCCCGAAAATTCACCAAATTTTGCCATATTTTTATATGTTGATATATTGACGCGGTATCGATCTATTTTACTAACAAAATCTCACAAGAATTTGCAAAATATCACGAGAGTTTGTAACAGAACGATGAAATTTCACCAGATTTTGAAAGTAAAATAGATGGATACCGCGTTTGATATCAGCATATGAAAATATATTTGAGTATATTATTTTTCAGTGTCAGAAATGGATAACAAAACTGCTATTTTCAATGACTACTTATTTTTGTCCAGCTTTAACATTGGTATCGATATCGGTTATCGGCTACATGAGTTTTAAAATATCGGCATATCGGATATCGGCCAAAATCCCAATATCGTGCATCACTAGTTAAAACACTTTAAACTTTTTCCTGTTTTCTTAGACAACAGCCAAAGTATTTTATTGGGATTGCATAAGATAGTACTCTGTAAAATATTGAAATCTAAATATGTTATTTTTTCTTTGAAAGGTAAGAAAATAAGAAAAAACTTTAACTTTCTTATTTCAATCACACATTATGTAATTATCTTATGTTAGGAGTAAAAACGACTCATTCCAGCGGCACATCATCATATTTACCCACTCAAATAAAGGATATATACACTGAATTTAAGACATTTTTACTTATTTCTAGATTTTTTTTGCAGGGTAAAAGCATTGGAAGAGCATGAAAGAAAAAAATAATCGGTAGATATTTAAAAATAGAAAATCAGAAAATTGTAACACATATAAATAGAGTTGTGGGTACCCCTTGTTGAATGAAAAGAAAGCCACAACCTTTATGAAATAAGTTCAATTCAATTCAATTTCAATTCAGTGTATTTCTATAGCGCCAAATTCACAACATGTCATCTAAAGGCTCTTTCCAGTTCAACCAGATCATCCAGTCAAATTGATTCAAAGTTTTCTATCTAAGGAAAACCAGTTGATTGCATCGACTCATTGACTCAAATACAATCCCTCACACTAAGCATGCTTGTAGCGACAGTGGAGAGGAAAAACTCCCTTTGAACAGGAAGAAACCTCCAGTTGAATCTCACAAAAGTAACAATATACAAAACTCATGAAATAAGCCTGGATAAAAATTATGGAAATCATTGAAAGGACTGAAAAACATGAGACCAAATTGTTATGTTAAATGAAGGTTTGTCCACTAATTAGTATCACAGGTGTCTACAGGCTTGTAATCAATCGGTAGGGCCTATATATAGGGCTACAGGTAGTTGCTGTGCTGTTCGGTGACATACCAGAGTATGACGGACCAGAGTTTAGAAAGAACATAATTGACGAGTATGTTAAAGGCAAAGCATGTAAGACCAACTCCAAGCAGATTGGCCATTTGCATTATTCAGGAATTGAAGTTAGATGAGCATCCACTGTAGCCCTGGACATGGACACAAGAAAAACATATGAAAAATCAAAGACATGAATGGTGAAAAAACAACCTTCAAAAACTTCTAAAGAGATTGAAACTCGAAGCTCAACAAACAATCAGTGTCAGATCGCACCATCCGTCGTTGTTTGAGCCAAAGTGGAATAAATGAGAGAAGAAGGAGGAAAACATTGTTGAAAGAATTATCATAAAAAATAAAACTGGAATTCGCCAAACTTCAATTCAATTCAATTCAGTTTATTTATATAGCGCCAAATTCACAACACATGTCATCTCAAGGCACTTTACAGTTCAACCAGATCATACAGTCAAATTGATACAAAGTTTTCTATCTAAGGAAAACCAGTTGATTGCATTGACTCATTGACTCAAATACAATCCCCCACACTAAGCATGCTTGTAGCGACAGTGGAGAGGAAAAACTCCCTTTTAACAGGAAGAAACCTCCAGCAGAACCAGGCTCAGTGTGAGCGGCCATCTGCTGAGGCCGACTGGGGTTCAAGGAGACAGAAGCAGAGATACAAAAAGCAGCTGTAAAAGGCGTCCAGGAAACACACAGCCAGGCAGACGAGCTCCAAGGCAGCTCCCATGCCAGAGGACGAAGAGAGCACATCCACTCAGTCACGGTCAGAGAAACAGGACCACACTGGAAAACAGGCCGATCTCCAACATCTATTAACAAGGGTGTTGATAGAAGCAGCACAGCTGATGTTTTTTTCCAGGATGACGTCACAGCCAAACAGGAACAGACGAGGCAAAGCTACTCTGAGGAAAAGCAGAGAGAGCAGAAGGTTAGAGATTGAACTAACAGATTCTGCAGAATAGGAGAACAGAGAGAGAATGAAGCAGAATGATGAAATGGGGGTCCCTATGTCCTCCAAAAGTCTAAGCCTATAGCAGCATAACTATAGAGATAGCTCAGGATAACCTGAGCCACCCTAACTATAAGCTTTATCAAAAAGGAAAGTTTTAAGCCTAGCCTTAAAAGTAGACAGGGTGTCTGCCTCATGGACTAAAACTGGTAGTTGGTTCCACAGGAGAGGAGCCTGATAACTAAAAGATCTGCCTCCCAATCTACTTTTAGAAATTCTAGGAACCACTAGTAAACCTGCAGATTGAGAGCGAAGTGCTCTGTTAGGAACATAAGGAACAATCAGATCTCTGATATAAGATGGAGCTTGGCCATTTAAGGCTTTATATGTGAGAAGGAGGATTTTAAATTCTATTCTTGATTTAACAGGAAGCCAATGAAGAGAAGCCAGGATAGGAGAGATATGATCTCTCTTTTTCATTTTCATTAGAACTCTGGCTGCAGCATTTTGGATCAGCTGAAGGCTTTTAACTACAGTTTGTGGACTTCCTGATAGTAAAGAATTACAATAGTCCAGCCTTGAAGTAACAAATGCATGGACTAGTTTCTCAGCATCACCCCTGGACAGGATATTTCTAATTTTTGCAATGTTCCTCAGATGAAAGAAGGAAATTCTAGAAACCTCTTTGATATGGGATTTAAATGACAGGTCCTGATCAAAAATAACACCAAGATTTTTTACTTTATTATCTGAAATCAGTTTAATCCCATCCAAATGAAGTGACTGGCTAATCAGTTTCTTTTTCAGAGACTCTGGTCCAAAGACTATAACTTCTGTTTTGTCTGCATTCAGAAGCAGAAAATTAAGAGTCATCCAGGTTTTTATGTCTTCAAGACATGCCTGTAATCTATGTAATGGGTTAGCTTCATCTGGATTTATAGACAGATATAGCTGGGTATCATCAGCATAACAGTGGAAATTAATCCCATGCTGTCTAATAATTCTACCAATTGGGAGCATGTATAAAGTAAAGAGAATTGGTCCTAGCACTGATCCCTGTGGTACTCCACAGGTAACCTTTGAGCGTGTTGAAGATCTATCATTAACATGAACA